GACCAAACCATGGTCCTGGGGCACTAGGGGATAGCCAGTTTTTAGCTTGATAGCACCCTCCTCAAAATGGCTTATTATTATTATTATTATTATTATTATTATTATTATTATTATTATTATTATTATTAGCCTCAAAAAGAGAAAGGAAATTGAGGCAATTAATATATCGCCAAATTGATAAGAAACGGCAGATCTCGGGACAGATCTTTCTTTAAAACTGAAGAGGGCATTGAGATTGTAATAATTCATCATTACATGACCATCTCGGTGTGCAAACCGCTTCTATCCTCGTAGAACATTTACCTTGTATAACGGCCCTCTGCCACGACAGCATTTGGGAAGCAGCACAGCTAGTAAACAGAAACCTTAAAAAGTGCGGAACAGTCTATCACATCCATTGCGAACAATGTNATTATTATTATTATTATCATTATTATTAGCCTCAAAAGAGAAAGGAAATTGAGGCAATTAATATATCGCCAAACTGATAAGAAACGGCAGATCTAGGGGCAGATCTTTGTTTAAAACTGAAGAGGGCATTGAGATTGTAATTCATCATTACATGACCATCTCGGTGTGCAAACTGCTTCTATCCTTGTAGAACATTTACCTTGTATAACGGCCCTCTGCCACGACAGCATTTGGGAAGCAGCACAGCTAGTAAACAGAAACCTTAAAAAGTGCGGAACAGTCTATCACATCCATTGCGAACAATGTGACAAAGAAAATGTTGGCGAAACCTCTTGTTTATTAGAAGCTTGAGTAGAGGACCATCTTTCGAGGAATTAGTCGGCTGTTCATGATGAACATTGCCAGCTTACGGAACATCCAGTGGATTCTAGCGAGCCAAAAGTTCTGCCACGGAAAGCAACACGTTCAAACGTCGCATAAGGGAGGCAATCGAGATCCGATTACGAAAGCCCTCTTTGAGCAGAGACAATGGTTTCGAATTACCCAACATCTGTGACACCATTTTAGCTCCCTCGAGACAATACTGAACATCATATAACCCTTCTTAACATTCAAATTTTTATTGTGGCTGACGAAGTTCGGAGGAACCGAACTAAATATCCCACTTTTTAATAAGATTTTTAATTGCGCTCTCAGTGCAGAATGTTTTTTTTTTTTATATTCTAACACTGATTTTGAACAGAGTTATCAGACTCGACGTTCATGCACGATTGTTGCTATGGAGGCAACAAGGAATGTCTCAAATAGCGGTGTAGTGGGAAGAGCTTTTAAACTCTGACTGTTTTGCAAACAGTTTACTTTGAATTCATGTGTAAGCGAAGAATAAATGCTAAATTAAAAGCCCCGAGAATGTTACGTCTTGAGCTTTGCCAATGACTGGTAATCGAATCACCATGGTTTAGCTCCCCTCACTAGGAACATAAAAAGTTAGTTTTATATGTTAACTTTGCTTTGCTTTCCAAAGCTTGTCATCTCAACGAATTGAAAGGTTTGTGGACAAGAGTGATTTCGTGTGATTTAAATGCTCTTGGTAGGCGCTCCGAAGTGCCCTTGATGTATGGCACTGGAGCATACTCAGTATTAGTCTAGCAATGGTTTTGTGAAATAACAGTGAGATGTTATGTTTTCATTCCAATTTGTAGGATAGATATATCGTAATATTTCCAGTCCTCCTCGTGGCACAGGAATATCCACCCTTCCGAAGCGAACTTTGGGGAGAGCAGGTGCCAAAAACGACGACGGGAAAGAATGATATTTTTTGTAATTTATGAAAAACAACCAAGACCACAACCCTGTACGCTGAACTATGCCATTGCAGTTATAAAAGGTATAAACTTTGACCACAAGATCTTTGAACGGGTTCCTACGAAAATTCATTGAACCTTTGATAAACAAACGTTCTTTGTTGCCCGAAACAATGAAACCTGCAGATTTAAATGGTGCTAAAAATTTACGCCACGTTTTATCAGTAAAAGCTCGGTTTGCGAGAATACCAATGTCAACAGAGTTTCCGCTCATTAAAGGATATTTTAAACGGCGCATCTCCCAAAGCGTTCCGTAAAAGAGCCAATGAACAATGTGCATTTCATCTAAAATTTGAGACACTTGGTTTGTGATGTTCATCAGATGTCTCCTACCTGCAGAACCAACGCCACACTTTTCTTTACTTTCCCATGGCCGACTTTCGACGAAGAAAGTTGAGTTTAAATTTACATGAAGATACACCATAACAAGTAGTACAATACAGCCTAGTATGAGAAGTCGTCGCCAAGATCCAAAAAGCCTCCAACCCGTTTGTTTAACAAGTCGTGCGGCGTGTAGCAGGGGACATTTACCTGTTGCCATAACTAAAATTCTTCCTCTCATAACAAGGTCCTTTTGTTTACCAGAGATCCATAAACCATTGTATTGTACCATCGCTACTCAATTTAGGGCAGTGTTGTATGTATATTTGGGCAGGAAAAGTTAGAAGCTGAATTTCGGCAGCATGACAGGTCGCCTAGACCAGAGTGCACCGAGAGCACTAGGTCAAGCGCTTTCCTCGTTCCAGAGCCCTCTCTTAGATTAGGTATGTCCGGCGCTCTGATGAAATCTTTACATACAGGTTCCTTCGGTGGTCTAGTATTCGTTTTATTTCCCTGTTTATTCTGGTGAAACTGACCTGCATTTCCAGGTTGAGACTCGATTGAGACTGCCTTTCCACCGGCGGATGCGAAATCACTGACCAGAATGAAAATGGGTTACAGCGATGTCTGAAAAAAGAACTGAGAATAGTAATTTGCGATTACAGTTGAACTGACATTTGTATTATTATGAGTAGTTACTAATTAGCCACTGAATGGCTGATAATAACAGAAACGGCGCTAATAAAGAATCTCGCAAAATTCACATCAGCGCAAATTTTAGCTACTCAAGTAGGGTCCCTATACTGGACAGGGAGGTTATTTCGTCTTTTTTTTAGCTTTAAATAATTTGCACCACGATTGACGCTACAAACAAAGTAAGCTTTCATATATTTTCAATCTCTTTGCTTGGAAACGTTGAGCGATTCCAAAAAATATCTTGATTTTGGACTGGGCATACATTGGAATCCATAAGAGATCTTAGCGATTTTATGTTATGCTTTAAGCTCTGAAATTGTCATTTCCGAAAAAAAGATAAAATACATTTCCTGGTGAATCTGTGAATGCTTCTTTGTTCCTTTCGTCTATCTCAATCGATCTTAATCAGGTTTTATATTCACAATCTTTACTTCCGCTACCAGAAGGCTTTGCAAGCTTTTTACCACAAGAAACCTTTGCGCGTATGACATCATAACCAATCCTTACGGCGAAGGGGTCTGACGGTTTGTAAACCGGCATTCTTCAAATTCCTCTCCACGTTTTGTCCAACTCAATTTATTTGATTTGATTTCACAAAGACCATGCTGAATCGGGTATGGTTAGTTCCCTCTTAAATCGGTAAAAAGTAGTCAAATGAGTCAAATTAATTATTGAGGTATTACACTAAAATGGAGCGTGAAATAGCTTGTGCGCAAGCGCGCATTCCAGTAAAAGTTTTAAAAAACGCTTTAGCATTCTGTAGTTGTAAATATGTTTTATTCATAATTTTATCGTAAATATACACCAACGGGCTTGACGGGAGCGTGTGGAAAGTGAAGTCTGCAAATTTGATTGAAGTCTGTAAATTATTAAAAAAGGAATAAAGTTTTGTTGTTTTTTTTGTTGTTGTTGTTCTTGTTGTTTTGAAGGTTGATAGACTATATAATTTCGGGCTTTGTAATGTAATTTCAATATACCAATGGAATACATTTTAACTCCAGACATTTGCAATGACATTTTTACATAACTATTGAGTGAGCACTTATTTATATTTACCTCATAGAAAAAAAGGAAGGAAGCGTGGAACTTCATTTGGAAACTCTGGTGAAGTTTTTCTTTTTCTTGTTTCACTTTTATCATCAGAGATCTGGCTGTTCATATAAAGCCTAACGCATGCGATTGTCTATACAGTTTCTAATCAAATTAATCTCGCTTCTAACATCAGGCGATGTATACATTTGAGACTCCTATTGGTTTCTGGCTTGGACAGTGAACGCTTTTGTCATTGAAATTTTCGGCAAATTTCGCCCGAGATTTTTACCTCAAATATTCAGAACCTCCGTAATCACGCATGGCTTCCGGTACTACTATTGTACAGATACCACTGGCACGTAACACGCGACATTTTGGCGGGTCTCATATCCAATGGTGCATATCGTAACAAGCCCGCCGCAACGTATGGCTAGAAAGCGAGGACAGATTGCTGCTGGCGTGGATTTTAACAAAACATGAAGGCGTTTCACGACTTGATTGTTTGTCTCTGGATACTTGCACTCGCCTTGCAAGATCTTAGCACGCGCAAGGCTTTCACACAAGGTAGGTTTATGATAAACATTGTGTACAGAACAGCAAGACATGATTGCATATTGTAAACCGTGTAGGTGACAAACTCTGACACTTGATGAAACCTCGACTAAACTACACCACAGTGTATAAAAAGAGCTGTCCTTGGCAACCGAGCTATTTTGAAACAATTCACAAATCCGCTGCATTCGAGTCAACTTCAGATAGTTTTCAGAGTTTAAGCAACAGTCACCGACGTCAGTTTGACCCAATTGTTTGAGAAACTTTTTAATAATTTGACCTCACAGTGTTTAAGCTACGTTTTGAATCTTGATCACTCGATTTGTTGATCTCTGCATTTATATTTCGTCTCTGTTTCAAGTTAAGCAAGAATCAAACGCGCTTTTATTCTATAAATCAGAAGTGAACTAACGATGAAATGAACCATTATTAGAATCGCTCGAATATTAAAGTTAAAGACAGAGCACTCTTTAAACATATCTTTCTTTTGACGTTTGTTGTTGTACAATAAATGTCAAGAGACAGAATTTTCTCTCGTACTTAAAAAATGTTTCGTGATTGAATTCGTGTGAAACACAAAGGTCCAAAACGTTTCGTTGTGATTTTACTTCTAAACATGCCACATTAATGCAAATCAAGATCACCAAGTCATATGCCATATCTTTTTATAAATTTAGCATATTTTTGAATAATGTTCAGTTGGCCCTCCAAAAGCATTGTACGGCTGTATGTTCGCTATAAGTGTGAAAATAGTCACACAAGGTTATCCCGTATACTTAAGAATCCTGTTGTTTTGGACTTTTTCGTCAACTTCGACCTCGACTTGAATTTACTGTGAGTAACCTGTTCTTTTCTTGCGTGACTTTGATTTTTCTGTCACGCCATATAAGTCACAAATGACTGGAAATCAGGGAGAAAGAAAGCTTGTCTCAGACCGCCTTAACGTTACGATTTGAGGCAAAAGTCGACATCGGTAACGACGCAAGGTCTATGTTATTACACAAACATGTTATTGTATAAACAATGACGAAATACATGCAGAGACACGTATCAGAATTTGTGGTTCAAGTTGAAAATATCCAGAAAGCATGGAAGAAGGAGAACCGTCTAGATCTGTGGCACCCATGTGACAACTTTTTGTCAATAACTGGAAAACAGAGGCAAAGTAAGCTAATCTCAGACAACCTCAACGTCTGATTTTCGGGCAGAAGTTCCCATCAATACCATTAATATTTCCTGATCGTTATGAACAACCAGAAAATCCATGCGGACACTCATTATATCATTAGTCAACTTGAAATACCCAGAAAACAAGAAAGTAGAAGAAAAGTCTGGCGCCATTTTCGAAGTTGAATACGGTACACAGTTATTTTACGAGAATCTAATGTCAATTTCCAAAGGAAGAAAACAACTTTATTTCTGATCGTCAATTATTCACTACCTGTTATATATTTCGCATACACTCAGTAAAAGAAAGAGTAAGGTGAGATGAAATTTTGTTCAAAGGATCACACTGAAGCATTCCAATTACTTTCGATTCCCTGATCAGTGAAAAAACGCAGTCATCACCATGTTGTTGTCAACAGAATTCAGTCAACACCCATCAAGTCATGATTCGTAGGCCAATTTTCCCGGAAGCCGCATTTAATATTGCTTTAATTGTTTAAAGTGGTCTTGATTAACTTGATTGAAAGATTTTCCTTGCTCGGCTGTACTTCACGAAACCACTTCAGGACCACTTAAATTCCAAAGGTGTTTTTTCTCTCTTAACTTGATGAAAAGGTGTCCTGCAAAAGTGCCTTCAGGTCTTCGAGACGAATAACGTCACGTTACTTGCATAATTAGAACTTTTGTAGCTTTAATCTGCTGTTTCAATGCAAATCCAAGCCAGTCAAACATTTGATGTTCTTGTACAGGTCTTCTTGGAGGTGTGGGATGTCCTGTTATGACTTGCAAATCGATTTCGGGCATGAAAGCGGAGAAATAAAGAGCCATGTTTAAAAAAATTTTCAGTTGCTCTCCTGACATACGAAACCAGTCGATGGCGCTGCGCAATATCTTTTCAGAACACGATAAAACGATATACATCTACCATGCATTAGCCATTTTACCCTGTTTTCTGAAGGCTCAATGTTGAATGCTTGTGATCAATTAGAAACAAGCCGCTGGCTTTTACTGAAAGATGCCTTTCGTCAGAATAGAGAATGTCTGTTGCACGATAATCAGTGAACTAAATAACCCTAGCATTTCACATTTTAAACCTTGCGTTTTTACTGAAGTCACCGACGTCTACCAGTGTTTTTAGTACAGTTAGTCGTAGGATTATACAGTGGTATAATTTAATGCTAATCTCCTTATTTTCAGTTATTGTATTTAACGTTTCTGTGCGTGTTTTCTTTAGTTAGCTACCGACTATTTGATTGACGGTAGCGTAAAACGCATTTGTCGGTTGAGCTTTGAATTTTAGAGTCCGCATGTTATAGAAAGGCGCAGTAATACAACGCGTGGCGACAATCTAACATGTCATGGAGACCATCGGCCATCTTGTTTTGTCCAAATCACATATTTTCTTCCCGTTCTTTGAGCGATTTTCAGTTTGGAGCGAGAAAGTAAAAAAGGTTCCCAATCGCTATGAAAATAGGAATTTTTTCTGTCTTCTGATTTAGGAAAAAGGAGAACAAAATTGACTTATCAAGTTGATGGACGAGGTTTTCTCAAGATCATCTTACTAACTCTTCAACTACATGTTCCAGTCTTTTCTTAAACTTATTTTCTCTTTTGGCAGGACGACAATGCGAAGACGTGCTTCCTGACTGTGCATATCACTTCAATATGAAAGACTGCGACAAATACAGTAGTGTTACCAGAAAATATTGCCTCAAGACATGCAGCTACTGTGAGTAAATAACTCGGACATCTTCCCTACATCTATGTTCTTTAGTTATTATGTTGAAATTTTAATTTATCAATTAATTGGTTAATCAAACTATTAATTTAGAAATCATGTCATTTAACTCATCTTATAACTCCAATTCATAGCTTTTGATTTTTTGTATACTTTATTTTAGTTAATTCAAACCACAATATAACAATATTCAGGGTTTTTATTTACTACTGTATTTTAGTTTTTCCAAGCTACAAGGTGATATTTCAAACCTATCGACTACTAATTGCGAGTGGACGCATTTCAAAAGAACTGTGTTCCATAAAATAATACTCAATCATTTTATTTGTTTTTACTATATTGTAGTTAGTTTTTACACTTAACTCCCAGATTTTTGAGGAACAAAAGAACTTGATTGGGTAATCACAATAATATTATCACTAGAGTAGCTAGTAGTTTACATTGTGACTCGTGTAAAAGATATATCAAATAAACTGAACCTTCATAATAATCCCAACCGTCAGTGGGTGACTATGATCTAAGACATGTAAGGGACGACATAAGAAAAAAACCGCATTTTTGATTTACTCTGTTCACTTGTTTCGTTTTTTTTGTTGTTGTTGTTGTTGTTTTTCACAGGTCCAACACCGCCTTCAACAACATTGTCACGTGAGTTTCAAATAAGTAAATAACAAATCAATAAATAAGTACTGAGGCGAGTAGGTAGGTAGTTATGCAAGTAGGTAGTAGGTAGGTATGTAAGACGGAGGGTAATAGGAAGGTGTGCAAGCAGGCAGACAGACACATTGACACTGGGCAGGAGCCAAGCGCGTTGAAAGGTAGGGCTTCCTGGTAGTGATTGCTTGTCAGCTGCACATGACTACGATTTCGTACAAGTGAAGCAACAAGGGGAATTACTACTCTTCTACATGGACTGCTAGATATCCAAACAATTTTCCAAATTCTCAATTGGGAAATAATAAAACACCACGAGTAATGTGTGTTTTCTGTTTTATAAAATGTATTTTTTGAAAAATTAAAAAAGGCTCTATCTACGAAACAACGTTCACTTCATGAAGCCTGCACAGGTTTTTCTTCAGGTTGCTATAAGCTTCTTTTCTTCACATGACCTAAGCAGTGACTAGCTTTTCTTGTTGTGTATATTACAGCATGTAAAGACATCTTGGCAGACTGTGCAGTGTATATCAAGTCTCCGTCCCAGTGTCATGGCGCTCAAGAGTTCTTTACCAAGTACTGCCCAAGTACATGTGGCTACTGTGGTAATTATCACTGTCATTTGGTATTTTAAATAGCATTATTTGATACTATGTCTTTCGAAAATTTACATTCCCCGCCATCCGCTTTTTCTCCTTCTCAAAAAGGATAGGTTTGTTTAAACCAGTTGCGCAACAGCATTTATTAGCCGGTGAGATGACTTTTTTCGTGATATCAAGAATAGTCCAGGGCGAGGGAAGTGTTGTTCGCGAGGCCAAAGACTGAAACTGATAACGCTTGTCGAGATGCGGGAGAAATGAAAAAAAACTCTGGCTGTGTTTCTGCGCTAGACAACTGACAAAATAGCCTGAGTAAGTACTTACGAAACGAATGAATAGTGCTTTTAGCACGCTCTGACTGGCCTCTTACACTCTGGATGTCCTTTGCTATTCACCTCCGAACAAAGCAAAATGGCTTCCCTGTTTACATTGGTAACAAAAGCTGACTTTTCCAGAAATGAGACCACATTACTTCGTTGGGTTATCAGAAGGGTGAAGAAGTGTTAACAAGTAGTTGTTCTAATAGTACCATTCATGGAAATGATGAAAATCTGCCGGGGAGGGAGATTATCGAGTTACCCAAATAGCCTCAAAACTCATTTCCTGCCTAAGTCCTGGTTGCAGCAGCCTCGTTAGAAACTCATTAAATCCATGCAAGGAGTTTGACTCAAGCCTGCAAATAATTCGTGTTTGTATTCAACTTGATCAACTATGATCACACAGAAATTACCAATTATGCAATTTTTAACCCATTCTGATTGATAACTTCCCACAGCATGTGATGATATTCTAGAGGACTGCTCGTCATACGTCAGTGATCCAAATCAATGTCAATCCTCTCCATTTTTCACCAAGTACTGTAAAAGGACTTGTAATATCTGCGGTACGTGTACTTACATTCTTGTATCTTTTACCTAGTTTTCTTTATTTGCTCCTTTCCTTAAATTCTTTCTTCCTTTGGCGTTGCATAGTACTACTAATGTCTTCATAGTTCGTTATCAACCGAGGAAATGAGATCTTTCTTTAAAAATTAAAAAAAGCACTTTTTCATGAAAGTTACGTTTTATCCACCTTTGAGGAATGTCAAGTTGGTTTGGAAGCGAAGTTTGCAAATTTAACTTAAATACTTTAGTATAGTGCTGGTAGGTTTATTGTAATGGTTTCTAGTGCCATGGGTTCTGTCTTTTTCAACAGAGACATCCACAGTGTCAACACCAGTGACGTCTGCTATGATTCAGCCCTCCCCATCAACTCCAACCCCGCTAAAACATCCACCTCCATCGACAGAAGCTTTATCAAGTCAGTCCTCTTTAACAGATTCTTCTTTAACCAAGTTTTCATCGACAGAATCTCCTTTAACTAAGTCTTCATCAACAGACCCTTCTTTAGCTGAGTCTTCATCAACGCAGGAGTCTCAATCGCAGATGTCTCAATCAACCGAGTCTCCACTATCTCCGTCATCTCCTTCGCCTTCACTGACCAACACACCTTCAACTACCGAAACCACTATTCAACCAGGTCCTTTAGGTACTTAATTAATTAATTAATTGATCAATCAATCAATTAATCAAAAAAGGCGCTTACTGCGTTTATGTCTTAGCAACTGAATAAGCGATCCGACCGACTGATAAAAGAGTTTATGTAATAGTGAAACACCGTTAACATAGTCCCTTTTGGACCATAAAATTTTTGTCCTGTTAAACAGGTGTACATAAATGAGTTCTTAAAACAAGAAAAAAACTGACGAGGCTGTTTTCTTTGAGACATAAGGTGGCTGTTATAACTACGTGATTGTAAGGTGTGATGTTGTATGGTGGCACTCCACTAAAGTTCTATTGTAACAATCTACTTCTTTAGTAAATATTGCTCTTTGCAAGCATGGGTTTTTTTTAACAATTTGTGATGTGGACTTTTTCAGGTTGTGCGGACATCCTTCCGGACTGTGCGTCAATGGTTGCAAATGACAAAGATTCCTGCAAAACCCGTGAGATGGAGGAAAACTGCCCCAAGTCGTGCAGTTTATGTGGTAAGAGTGGAAATGCTAAAACAAAATGGTTATCTTAATGCTGTCATGTTTCAGTGACAGATTCAGCAGCAGTAGCCTGGAGGTTATGAAATGCCATACTCCCTGCTTGTAAGTATAGACAGGGCCGTAACTAGCAACAGGCAAATAAACCGAGGCACTTGCCCCGGTCATTGTTTTTTGTTTTTGTTGTTTATAGTCATCAAGACCACCCTAAATACTTAGGAAGAGAATCTAACCATGATCATTGCCTCAGTCATATTTTTTAATGGACATTGCCTCAGTCGCGGCGTCAGCGGATTGCAATTAGCGATATTTGGACAGGCCTTTTAAATATAATGAGTAGTTTAATTGCCCGAGCTCTCATGCGATTACTCATTTATCACATGAATGAGACAGTTACGAACGCAAGCGTGTTTATTTTAACTGCAGTGCAAATGAAAACTTAACGATATATTGGTCTGCTCTCGGTCAATCCCAATGAACTAGTTTGCTCAGCAATACAGTAAAAGATAAAATACTCCAAATTTCACGGGAAAAGAACGATGAACTACCAAGTACCCGTGACTTGATTTCGTTCTGGCCGGTTTCCCGTACATTGTTGACCCTTCCCATCACGCCGTAGTACCTAACATCGCATAATGAGTTTGTTTGTTTTTTCTATCACAAATTAACTATATCTTAGTAACTGAAGTGCTCACTTCAGATAATTCCTAATTGAAAAGTAATTTATTTAAGTATTGTTTATTTATCAGGTGTCGATCCACAGTGCGAAGATAAATTGCCAGAGGATTGTGCCTCTGTTATCGCCAGAGACAAAGAATACTGCAAAACTAACCCAGAATATATGAAGGAGAACTGTGCAAGAACTTGTCAATACTGCGGTATGGTTGATATGTAGTAACCACAAAGATCTATACTTTCTATCTGTAGACAGTTAGAAATTTGAAGTGTGATTACGTCTAGCTTGTGGTTGGCTGATATAATTCCGTTGGTTAAGTTTTTCAAGTCATTACAGTCATCCCGTCCTCGAGAACTGACTGAGTTCGCCGTTTTTTTGCACAAACTTTGTTTGCTTCATACCTATGCAACGACCACATCAAAATCTATCAGAACATCGGGAATTTTCTCGCCATTAGACGCAATTTTACATTCCATGTCACAGCACTTTGATTCTAAAATTTGAAATTAAACGTCATTTTAATTTTCACGTTAGTATACAGTTTATTTATGAGACACCGAACTGTTTCATTTACAGGTTGTCATGATCTTTTGCTCCTGTGCGCTTCACTCGTAGCAAATAACAAAGATTACTGCACTACTAATCCAGTGTTTATGACAACAAACTGCCCCAAGTCCTGTGATCTCTGCTACAGTAAGTAGACAGCATCATATCTGATACATTATTGTAAGATTGAGGTCTGAGAGGTCGGTAAAATGAAAGTGGATTTCGCTGTTGTATCAAGGCTTCAGGGCTTTAAATATGCTTTGCACAGTAAACCGTAAAAAAATACCAATACCTAAAACATGATTTTGTGTAAAAAAATTTCGGTAAATTTCATTCAAATTATAGACAGTGCTCTGTCTTTCAAAACATTCATGATATAGCTAATGTTCTTATACTTACTCAGTTACTCTCCCAAAATAATTTTCCGACATGCGTCTGTCAGTGGACTACAGTTCAAATCAAATTTAACTTACCGGTAATCAAGGAACGGTGAAATAGCATGTCCCATGACAACTGTTAGAATATTCGCATACACTTAAGCAATTTCGCAGTGCAACATTTCTCGAAACATCTCTATATAAATGTGACTAATAAATCGTTGCAACACGGACTCCGTTGTGTCGGCAACCTTACTAGAGCCTGCTGAAACCAGTTTGAGAGAATTCAACCCGGCAGATGTGCTGCAGTTGAAACAGAAACCAAAGCTACTGAGACTGACTGAATGTAGAGAAATGACTAAAAGTCAGTGTTGATTTTCGGTTTTAGATGATGGTGATGGCGACGTTAAGCCACCAGCGACTTCTAATGGTAAGAATTTGTGAGTAAATTCTTTGTTAACTTACTCCAAGTTATGAGTGTGCGACACCTCCCAACCACCAAACAACTTGATCTGTGCCTAACCTCAAATAATGAATTTCTTCAATGTCTAATCTACTGTATGTAAACATCGTCTTCCGCTGAAGCCGACAAGAGACTCTTTACTTGTTTACTCAGATGCATTTCTCTATCAGGTGTCGTAGTTGATTTCAGTTTATTGTTTTGTCCATAGATTGTGTCGATAAGAGGAAGAGATGCCAAACGTTTGCTAGCATAAAGAACTACTGCACTTATCAGTCCGCATTTATGAGAAGACACTGTCCAAAATCATGCCAGTTCTGCGAGAAGGTAAGACATCTTTACGACATCTCCCCGAGAAATGTCTAAAATTTTATGTCAATCACATTTAGTACATGATTGAGTTATGAGACACGAATGCTTGTATTTGTTTGTGGGTTCAGTTACAATCTGCCAGAGCTGTATCACGTACAAGTTATCACCCTCCCCTTTCCTGGCCTGTGGTGATTGACTAGTTGGTTACCGCGCGCGAATTCATACAATTTTCAGTCGGACCTTTGGATAAAAACTGTGTTGCTGTTCAGAAACTCTTCTTTCTTCATAATAGGTTGTATTATATTCTCTCCATTGCACAATTTTTACATTACTTAACAAGATAAAAATCATCATCACCATCATTTCGTTTCTGCGAAGACGTGGTACACAGATGAGACTACGTAATATATCAAACACAAGAGACCGTGTCATACCACATTGCAAAACACCGAGAAGAGAGTTGACGATACGACGCACAGAGTATTCTGGACGAGCTTCGAGGTGTTTGGAAATATTGTAAAACATTTTCTCAAATGTTTTATATATGTTCTTAATCGAAACTAAAAGTAAGAAAAAATCTAAGCAAATTGAAATCAGACATCCAAACACATTTGATGAAATTTGAACTCAAACTGTCAGATCTCAAACTACTCGAAACTATTTTCCATCTTGCTATAATTTTATTTTTTAATTGTTTCTTTATTTCTTAAAGATAACGAATATACGCGACTGTGGCATCTAAAAGCCGAAACACTCATTTTTCTTCCAGTCGCAAAGTGAATACTAAATATCATCAAAACGTCCTCTTGAATTTTTTGGTATGCAAAATCCTTTAAAAACGGCGGTCGGTAAAATTCTGCGTTCTGCGTGGCTGTTTAAACAAAACAGAGTCTGTACTATATGCGTACAAACTTTCTGACATAACAAGACTGTTTCGTCCAAACCTGATGTCACAGTCTGTTCTCACATTTACACAACTGTGATAACAACAGATGTCTCTAAAGACAAAACAGTGCTTTAGATGTTGAGAGAATATCCAATCTTAAGAGCATTGCATTCAAGGATTGAAGAGGGTTCTGAAATCGATACTGTTGTCTACTCGTGAAAAATGTTTTGCCACGGGGCTTGTATTTCTCTTCTGCTTCTGCATTTCCTCGCCTTCAAAGCTTGTCATTCTTGTCCGAAGGTAAGTTGTTCTTTGGTTTTACGAATTTTATTTCAAATGTTGTTATCTTCTATTACACACGTTATTTACAGGTACCCGCTGACTGCTTCTCCGCCATTGTTAAAAGAAACTTTGTTTTGCCGAATAAAATGACTGGTGACGGGTCGACTTCTCAAAGCTACTAAAATAATTCACCAAGATAAATCACTTAACATTGTAACGGCAGTTTGACGAATTAAATTAGCAAGATTTTTGCCGTTATAGTTTTCATCGATTCCTCGTTAGTTCCAGAGTTCTCTTCAGATATATCAAACAGCTTCCAGAGCTTCGAATTTCTTTATAAAACAAGTCTTGTATGTGCTGTGTCTTTTGACGAACTTGTTCCTTGTGTTAAACGTCTCCCTTAAACTTACTCCGTAAGAAATTTGGTTTTCGAGAAGTTATATTTATAAAGGCACAAAAGAAAACGCGATTTAAGAGATTGGTGCTAACTTCATTTCCGCATTATCAAGCGATTGAGGACAATGTATAAAGAGGTATATCCACCCTCATTTCCTACAACACTCTGCAAAAACAGTTGTTGTGGCCTCCTTGTAAATTACCTCTAACTAACTAGCTTCAGACTTTTGGCGACAAAAGCATGTAATCTTAAACAATAAGCAAACCCAAGAACTTAGTTTTGCATAACTAAGTTATTTTAAAAGCGTGGTATTAAAATGTTTAACTAACTAGCTCCATCTAGCGAAATCTGTGTTTTTTTTTCGTTCTTCCCAGGAATACAATTTTGAAATTAAAACAGAATGGAACGGCAAACAAATCAACCACGCCCCAATAAAGTTCCAAATAAGTGCCCAGGACTCTCGTGTCGTACTCATTTCTGTCAGTGGACCATTCTTTGATGACCCAGGTCCTCCACCATGCGCGGTCGGGAGTGCTTGTGATGGATTGTGGGATTATGAGGGTATGTATACGTAGAGTAGCTTAGTCAACTGTTTGCTAGATGGAAGGTGTATCTAGAACGTTTTGGTAGAATTCCACCTGAACACTAATGCAAATGCTGCAATCTGATCGGCTGAGCCATTGCACACTATCAGCCATTATATAGTTCACCACTAAATTTTCTCCGATTCTTATTGATTTAAATTGATCACGTGGTGCGATAGTGTTCGTCCGCGGAGAGACACTATCAGCCCATAGTGCCCGTCCGCGGAAAATACCCGGATGGATAGTACTCGTTCGTGAAAAATTTTCTGTAAACAAGCGGGTTTGTAGAAAATAAAGAATTGAAATCGTATTAAGTGGGGTTTTGTCGGTTTTCTTTTTCAAATTTTACATCTGGCTGTCACGGCTTTCATCTAAAAATGTTGAAAATAATTCAATATGATTTTTGAACTTGCGCACGGAAGAAAATTTAGTGGCGAACAATAAAGACAATAAAGTGTTTATGTCTCGGAACTATCGGTCTGATAGTTACCCCTTGGAAATTTGATGTTCTTAAAACTAGCATATTTGCCCTCGAAGCTATTTGTTTTAAGAACATCAAATTTCCGCGGGGCAACTATCACCCGATATTTCCTCGACAGAAACACTCTATTGTTTAATTAATGTGCAGTGGCTGGAAGTCGTCTTCGAAAAAGCGACGTGTTTTTCGTTTTCCAAAGTTTTGGCGGAATATTTTGATGCAAATGGCAAATTAAAATTCCTGAGATGACTAAAAGAAGGACATTTACAGTTTCGCGTGTGCACACAACTGCAAGTTCAAATGGCAATTCAATCCAAGCGATCTTTCTAGGCCATGAAATTCAATAATACGTCGAGAAAAAACTAGAAACTGTTATTTCAAATAAATTTCAGTTAGAATTGTACTAAAGCAATTAGATTATTCGCTCTCGATTTCTGTGAGGTGATAGTTGATGAGGCCGAATCAACTATCACCTCATAGAAATCTCGAGCTCATAATCTAATTGTTAAAAATAACACCACATGAAAAGTACGCTACACTAATAACACCATACTGATTCTTGAATTTCAGTTGCTGAGGTGTTTTTCCTTGGAAAGAAAGAGAAATACCTTGAGATTGAGTTAAGCCCGTAAGTGTGATATTTGTTGCTAGGAAGTTTCTGCATTTCACTTAGGAAACTGATTTCACACATTTGATTAAAATTCAAATGCTACCGGCATATGGATTACTGCCAATCATTCTTCTTGCTTTGTTAGGCACGGACAGCATCTGCTTCTAATGTTAAATGGAGTAAGAAAGCCTTTCAAGGTAAGTATGATTTTGAAGTAAATAAACTACTTTGTTAATTTGCTTGGACCAGAAATTGCATTGCATTGACACCACTCGTCATGATAAAGCAGACCTGAAATATCCTAATTTTTTATTCGCAGGACAAACTGCCTATAGAGTACACGGCCACGATTGACCGAGCCAATGGCTCATGGACTGGAACCGCTAAAATCCCTATCGACTACTTCCCGCCTGGAGTGCACAAAATCAATGCATACGCTATTCACGGATCAGGGATCAACAGAAGATATGAATCACTGTACCCCGCACCAGCTGATGCCAAAAGTCCCGACTTGTGAGTTGCTTTATAAACGATTTCATGATACTTTACTGAGCAAACTCGCCACCGCCTTTGAAACACACTCCGGTGCAATTCTCGCATGTAGTATGATAGTAGAAATACGACTTTTTGCCATTTTAGAACTATGATAAAAAAGATACAGAATATTTTCTATGGCATTAGGGCTGGGTTACAGAGGTATCTGTACAAACAATTTCACCGTATTCATCCTATGTGGAGTCGCAATCGCATAAGACGAATTCCTTTGAACCACTTGGACTTAATTATGTCAACCCAGATTTCCGCCATTACGTTTTTGCGCATTCACGATATTGGGGAGAGTATTTCATTACTGATCAACCTTGCCGACCGTAGCTGTGTTTGGCAACGTAAGGTTACGTTCTCAACGGCTAATTCCCCAATGAGATGCACCTGCAGGGAATCATGGTAGTTGTATTCATCATCTTGGACTGGATAATTGTTTTGGTGAATACGACTACCATGATTCCCTTCAGGCGGGATGGCCATTAAACTTTCCCGCGAACTTTCACACTCCCGTGTTAGGAGAGGTAAAGGGGAGAACAAGGTGAGCCAGCTAGAACAAAGCCCGGGGGGTACTCCCTTATATGGGCTACATAGGTATGTGCGGCCCAAAGGGTAGGGTTTTGGTCATAAATAGGGTATCGATTTTGGCCATTTTGGTTATAAATAAGGTATGGTTTTAGCACTCTAGTCTTGAATTGGGTATGTTTCTTAGAAGAAGCTACCTTTTCATCTTTATGGATAACACCGTCAACAAAAGCTCTCCATAATTTATGTTTGGAGCAACTGTGTCAGCCGCAAAGTCATAAATAGGCTATCGAATATTTGGACAGGTCATAAATAGGGTAGCAAAAAACGCAGATTTTGGTCATAAATAGGGTAAGGGTTTTGGGAAGTGGGCCGCACACCACCACCCAACTTTTCTGGAAGTACCCTCCCGCCGGAACAAAGGCCTGTCATGTGACGTCTCGCTCTCCTTTATCTCTTTTTAGCCATCATCTGGAACTTTTCAAGCCATTTGACTTTGAGGCAATGTTCACTCTGTCGTGGAGTAAACCAGTGTCGCTTTACTGGAAGAATATCGGAAGATTATTGAGAGCAAGATCAAGAGCTTAATTAATAACTCCTCGTGCTTTCAATAAAGTTGAAGTCCATAATAAATGAGCCTGAACTGTGCTGTCAAGAATAATAATGAGTTCAAAGAGACCACTGCTGTGTCTGTTACCGGCATAGCATAGTTACATTAATTAGTTAATTAATTTCCTTCTGTGTTTATTTCGAGGGCCATTAGTTTATCAGTTTTGTTACTGTCAAATGTTACCCGGCATAACTGCTTTGCATAGTCTTTTATTTCTATCTTGAACTCTCCGTTTATCTTAGCCCATGTTGTTCAAAGGTGGGTAATGCAGTCTATCGGATAAAATCACCATCCAGCAGATAAATGTTATCAAACAGATTACTCTATTCGTTGGATAGTCATATATCCGGTAGACAGTGTTATCTATCCTTTGAGCATGCTGTCAAAATGTCCTGGTGTTTGTGGCATGAATTTGGACAAAGAAACACTAGTTACTCCAAAGCTAAAATGACTTGCGCATCGAGCAACTCTTACGCTTCTTTTGTGCTCTCCATCTTCCCACGAGCATCACAACTCCATGATGCACCAACATGCTAACGCAAGAATCAATTGTTTATTGTTCACCAAAAAACTCCCGTTACCTTTGGTTGAAATATAAAAACGCTGTATAGCCTAAATTGAGTTGTGAAGTTGGAGCGAGTGTCGCACTGAAAGTACAAGAAGGGACCTTATAATTTGTTGTAAAAGTCAGGGCCGGGTTGTTCGAAAGGTGGATAACGCTATCCACTGGATAAATCACTATCCAGCAGATATCAGTGTTTGTTTTGTTAACACTTATCCACTGGATATCGATTTATCCGGTGGATAACGTTATCCACCTTTCGAACAACTGGGGCCAGTAAATAAGAATGGGAGTACCGGTATATGAATGCTTCCAGATTCCATAACTGTTAAAGTCACACCCTTCCTACATGCCATTATATATTATACACGAAAGAGAATTCTCCTGTGCTTTGTATTATAGTCACGGCACTTCAAAATATACAATAAATATCACTTTCTCCTTAAAACTCTCTTAAACATTATTACATACTTAATGTTATTATTATTATTATTCTAGTAATTTATATAGCTTGAATGATGCCTGCTAAACACATTTGTTATTTTATCTGCGACGACTAGCATTACATCACCCCACAGCAGTTGTTATTGTACTGTCTCTATTTTATCTGTAAATCAGTGCTTAGCTGATACTGGCCACACTGATACCATTGACACACAAGACAGATACCAACAGATGGTGGATCATAGTGTTGTCAAGAAAGCGGAGGAATTTAGGAATCTTTCAGTATCAAACAGAATACCAAGACCTTTGATGGCCACATAATTTATGGTATTGTTAATCCATGTACTGCCATACAGATACAGTACATTGCAGTCACAAAACCATAGCACTGAAGGTTTGAAAAAGTTGCCTGTGGCCTAGGCAGCCATATTGTGAGGCTTGATCAGAACGTCTCACACTAATGTACTTGTCAGACCTCCGTCCCACATTCTCAGTATGTAATACATGAAGACCACAACCACATCACAGAACTGGAAACAGTCCTTGTAGTAAGACTAATCAACCAGTTCTGAGCATCTCAAAGACCCCATAGATAGCATACTGCACAAGGCACGGGTCACTGTTAAACAGGAAGGGTGCTGGAAACTGTCTTTGTGACAGCAGATGAAAAAAGCTTTGTAAAAAACTTCATGCCTGTTGTACCACCTGGAATATAACTGACAAAGTACCTTGAAGGAAAAAGAGAACAGGCTTCAGTTACTAGAATGCTAGTATGAATCTATAACACGTCAGTTTACCGAGCAGTTTCGCCTTTGAGCAGAACTGAATGTTGTGGTTCAATTTTACCCTTAGCACCATTTGGTATTCTCATAGGAATGAGAATTGATCAATTAAATAACATTGATTGTCACTGATTATCCATTTTACCAATTTCACATTTTCCAATAGTAATCAATCACTTTATTTCACTGACATCGGTTATTTGTTTAATGCGTTTACTTAAAAACACATCTATGGTCTCTCTTATTATGATGTACTTTAACAACAGCGATTAACCTTACTTAAAAAAACGTCTACAGAATACAGCAGAAATATAACAAGAAATTTTAACGTCAGAACAGTATCTGCGCTAAAGAGCCCCTGCTCCTTCTTCCTTGTGTCTAGGTGTGTGTGTTTTTCATTTTTCCTGTTCTGTTTTGCTGATTGACCCAGTTGTTTTAGAGAGGACCAATAGGAAAGCAGCAACTTTGATCCTTACTTGGTATAAAAAGATCACCAAATGACTATTCCAGTAGGAAAGAAAAGAGACCTTTTTACTTTTCCTGGAAAACACAGGGAAACGGAATTTTCTAAGACCTCTCTCTTCTCTTGAACAGCTTGGAAAATACCAAATCTAAAATTGTCATGTCTAAAACAGCTGCTGGAGAGATTCGTGAAGGGTCGCAACTGATAGTCCAGCTGAAGTCATGCAATCTTGACAATGACCTTCGCAGATAACTCAAAACAAGTACATCTGGTGACAGGAATGACAATGTCATCCCAATACCAATACAACTTCATTCTGTCCTGCACACAACACCGTTCACTATACAATGGAGCAAAGCGTAAATAATGATTTGGAGAAATCACCTCTCACCATCACAACCCAGACCACCTCGATACACTAACAAGAACAACATTTGTCACAACCCCCATCCATCAGTGTGTGACCTTAGAAAGACTTTCATAAATAACTGGGTTACAATACAAAACCAATTGCTGCTTAACACCATCTACACAAAACATTCAACAATATCATACAGATGTCCAAAGATGCACTCGTGAAAACCTAGTTAAAGGTTAAAATGTATTGCAATCACAATTTACGAGGGGAGTCTGCATCAATGAAGTGCATCAGTGACAATCAATGACATTTGACTGATTATGGATTGGTCATCAATTGAGCAATGCCAACATTGAACGTTGAACCACAGCACATATACAAATTTTCCCTCCTTCTGAAAGGATTACAGTGACTTTAAAGACAGGATACAAAACTTGCTTGTTACATTGGCTATTACATGTAAACATACAAATGTAGCAGTCTTCAAATTTATGTTCAGCAACAACGTAACTTTCATTACCTAGTAACATAGGCACGCAATGTGTACAAAAGGCTATACATGTACATGTAGCTTTATAAGCCTCTGCACATATTCCATGCCCATGCTACGTAAGTAACAATTTTAGTTACATGAATGTGTAACCGTTGTACTCCATATTATATTCCAATATTTATAAATGCCTATTATGGAATGCCCAAGATACTCATTTATTCACCACTGAGACCCCTAATTTCACTGAGTGAAAAACAACTCACCATATTAAAGCAAGGATTTGTGCTACAGCAAAAACTGCTGTTAATACTGTGCTTTTTACCTGGAAGAAAATTTAAAAGTACCTTTGTTAAACTCCATATAGAATGAATGAAAGTTGAACATTCTAACTTAAAGAACTACTGGGTGAAGAACTTCAGCATTTGATTACAGAACTGGTTATCTTAAAAATTGTTTGCCACTTTTCAGATATCAGATATCTCATCTCTGGTTTCCAAAACGTAAAGTGACTAGGAGTATTTCAATCTATTCCCCCCTGGTTGGGATACAAGTAAATCACAGGGTTACCCCCAGCATTAACTTTGCTGATACCCAGTTATACATCTGAGGTGTCTTGCCCAAGAGAAGAACATAACAAAATATCTTTAGCTGGGGCTGGAGCCCCGCACAGGTAGATTCAGAGACCACCACACTAACCCTTAAGGCCACTACATTAACCACCTACATGTAAAAGCTGACAACTGTTTCACGATTAGTTAAAACACAATGTAATAATAGATGTCATATTCTAAATTTAGCTATGCTTACAATCATAGCCATGTAAAGTGTAGCAAACATTGATCCAAAGTAAGCAGCAGTGAAAGGAAGTCTTTCAAGTGAGCACAAATGTTTGACATGATTCACAGGACCCCAAAGTAATGAAAAACTGAAACAAAACAGAAAAGAGCATGCTGTGTTTACCAAAAATAAAACAGTACATCTACATGTATTGGCTAATTACAGTCACGTGACCATGCATGACACACTGTACATAGAATATAACATTGTAACCAAGATGTTGCTGTAAATGATTTATTAACAATTGAAAGTAAGTTTTGGTTTCAATGTTGAATCCCTATTTGATCGAAAGCAGACTACAGAACAAGCAACGTCTTTTCAAGTGAATATATGAAAGCTCATACATTTGAACTGCAGAGAATCAATTAACATGTTTATCAGACTGTCATTAGTTTTCTGTAACTGTTGTCTTGACTTGCTTATTCGTTCTCCATGTTATAGTGGCTAGCTTGATGGGCATACATAAAAACAATTTCAATTTCAAGGCAAACACATTGTACCATGCAAACACTGACAAACCGGTGCAACTTAAAGGAGCGCAGTCACAATGTTTTGTCTTTTTTTTTTTTTGACCACGTACAAAATCTCCTTTAAATGGAAGGAAACCTGAAAATAATAGTTTACTAAGATAGAAAAACAGCAAAGAGATAATAATAAACCATAAAGGAACAAGGATGGCCAAGGATGGCGAAGATTGACACGGATTGCAAACAACAAATTTGAAAAATTTAGGCTAAACTTTTCAAATTGTGCAAACTGTGACTGAGCCCCTTTAACTACTAGTGTTTATGGTTACTGTAACTGAAAAACATTTTGTTCAACTATTTTCTCCAATTGCTGATAAAGTTAACATTTTGCGTATGAGCACCATCCAAAATTATAATGAGTAACAGTCTGTACACAAGTGTCCCAAGTGCTCAGGCATTCTACCCACAACCCTGTAAATATTTTCAAAATGGCAAAACATTGCTCAAAAATCTCTCTTGTCACATGTTACTGCCTTGGAAGTCAATGGGCTCTGAATGTTAATGTTGTCTTGATTATTTTATCAAACTTGAAAATGTTGGAAAACTGGTAATAATTATTGTGAAGAACAGCTCCTGGAGAAAACCTGCCAGCCAACTGTTGCCCATCTGTCACCCGAATGTCGGACGTCTGTTGGCCAAAGCACAGACCAACAGTCGACTGACGTCCGACTGACGTCAGACAGACCGCCAACAGTTGGTAAGATGTCAGTAAGGTGTTGGTAAGTTGTCAGTAATATGCACCACTTACCTCGTTCTTGTCCTTTAGTATTTAATGATAAATATTTTTATGCTGACCATCAATTGGTAGGCTAGTGACAAGATGTATTAATATAATTTATATTTGGGTTTGGGTATTATTTTGAAACTGTTTTGATTGGGTTTATTACTCTATTGCCATTTGTGTCTACTCTACAGCAAACTCTCTCTCTTAGAAAACTGCCAGTAACCTGTCAGTGACCTGTCAGTGATCTGTCGGTAGCTTATCGGTAGCCTGTTGGTAACCTGTCGGCCAACAGTTTTTTTTGCTTTTTTTCAGGGAGCTCTTCTTCACAATTACCAAAAAACTATGAAGCAAAAATCATCTTATGCATTTAATTAATTCTTCCAATTTACATGTATGGCAAGAGGAGTGAAAGAATTGAATGACTTCTGTTGATACTGAGTTATAATACAAGTAATATACCACTATCACTATACCTTCCTATTGTAAACAGACTTCCCATTGTGTACAGGAGGACAAATTTCCTTGCCTTTAGTATCATGACAGGTGCAATAAAGCCAGCCTAGGGTAAACCACTAATGATGAGTGTTTATAACAAAAAAGGCAAACATTTCATTGCACATACTGAATTTCTTTTGATTATTGTAATTGCTCTTAAACTATAGAATTTGTAGAATAAATATCTTAAGTTTAACCTTCTAATACTCACCCACATCAATGGTACTTTTGATTCATATTTTATTTAAGACTGCTCAAACATTGTAGAAAGTAATTGCTACACAGGGTTCGACTTCAAGGAAAAAACCTTGGGGCTAGCTGGCCCCTAAGTTTCAGATTTAGTCGCCAGCAAAAGTATTTCTTATGGTAGAGAAGCAAGTTTAATGATAAACCTTGGAGTTGTGGCTAGTTATAACGTAAAACTGAACAGATTCAGTTTTTTTGCAAGATGTACCTTTTGAATTTTAATTTTGATTTTGCATGTACAGAGACTATTGCTGAATGATAAGGTTACATGTAGAAAAAACTTTATTAGGAGGAAGGAAAAAAAGGAAGCTTTAAAAGCCATCATCAATATTATCGTAAATAGAAATTCCAGTCATTAATCAAAGTCATGACACACACATGAAATATACATGGCATAAAAGAAAGCTTTTAAAAAGAAATAATACCGTGATAATTTCACACTTTTACTGCTAAGTAAATATCTTTTGCAGTGGAACCCCACCTTAAGATCACCCCATTATTACAGTCACCTTGTTATTACAGCCACCTTTTTTTGTCCCGGCAACATGCCCCTACATTTTCTTGTGAGAAAACCTCATTAATGTAGCCACCCCATTAATTTGGCCCATAGCCACATTCTGAAATCCCAACCTGTACAATTCTTTATAATTTCCCTCTGTTTATACTGCCACTTAAACCAGTTATGTTCTGACTGAAGTTTCAATTTTTTTAAAAATTATATCTGCATTCCAGATGCTTGTTAAGAACAGTTGTTTAGAAGTGCAATTTTGATATGTCATTCTATTAAGACGCCACTCAATTTTGACCAGTCAGGAAATTGGACCCAACCCCGTTAGTATGGCCCGTTGGTGACCATTTATGTATTAATAGGGTTCAACTGTTTTGTTCAAAAGATTTTGAGGTGATCTGTAATATAAGAAGTAATTTGACAGTCTAGTTAGATCAGTTTAAAATAATTTGAAGATCTTGCTTGGTAGAACGAGCCACACAATGTTAAGATGGTAACTATGCAAAGTTTGATCTGTTGTTTAAAAGACCTTTGCAGAGTTCTCCGTAGGCTCCGGCGACTGGCGAAATTCACCGTCTAGTTGTCCTTGGCGTGACGGCTACTCAAAGTAAATAAATTATGAATAATTTTTATTTGTAACAATGTGAGCCTATCCATCAATAAAATTAAGACCAAATACTATACATGTATGTCTAATTTTCTTTCAACGAATGCGTAGTGATTAAAAAATACCATTGTTATAGCTGTAGGATAAAAGAAATCTGAAATCATTCGGGCTGTGAGAATTGCCAACAAAAATGTGATGTGGGCACCGAGCCGTGACGGCAGCACTGAAATATTTGACAGCCAGGGTTAAAGGTCACTTGTTCCTCTGAAAATGAAGCGAAAAACCCAGCAATCGCTGCTCAGTGCCTGGGACAAATTGAAAAGAAATAGAGATGACACAAATGAAGGTAAGTTGTTTTCTTTCAAAAATATAAATAAAAATAAGTTCTTTAATCTCCAGTGAATGTATGCGTAATTTAATTAGTTCTTTAAAACAACAACATACAACCCAGTGTTTGGCTCACACATGGAGGATTTTCAAGAGCAAATAACTGCAATGTATTTGAAAAAAAAAATAATAAAAGAAGATTCTTTCAACAAAAGAAACAAACTTTGCAAGATCTTACACAATCTTTAAACTTGGAAGCCATAAGATGTTTGTGTAAAATTTGAGAGTGAGATAAAACTGGTGAGCTTGTCGAAGCAGGGAAGTATGAATTAATACATGCACTTTTTCAAGGCTTAACTGAAGGCTTTCATGCAGAAAGGGCGTATAGAGCATTTTGGGTCGATTTTTATTTTTTGCAGGATTGAGCTAATTTTTCGCAGACTGACTTGTTTGACATGAAAAGCATTGTTGCATAATTGTTTTTGTTGATTTGCGCTTCGTTTTCAAGAAATAATGTATGCAAAAAAAACTCAGTTTTCCAAGGGTATCTTTTGGAGATCTTTTGTTGAGCAAAAAAGACAAGAAACCTTTGTTTTGCTAAACGATGAAATCACCAAAGCGTGGTATTTGCTGCTAGTTTTATTATTCATATAATTACGCAATTCTCTTACTGCTGCTTCATTAGCGCAAGCGAATAAGGCACTGAACGGGCCGGATTCGAGTTTGTTTTGCTGTGGCACCGGTTCAATACGAGGTCAGTCGATTTTTTTTTTCCGTTCTATTTCTCTACTTCTTTCAAAAATCAAAACATGTATTTAAAAAAAACCGTGCTGTCGAAGCTGCTAAAAGTAACTGTTTAAGTTTGCACCACGGCAAAATCCACCTTGAAACGATTCGCTCCAAAAGATGCCACTCAGAAAAACTGAGTTTTTTTGCATACGTTATTTCTCGAAAACAAAGCGCAAATCAATTAAAACAATTATGCGACAATGCTTTTCATGTCAAAACAAGTCAGTCTGCCAAAAATTAGCTCGATCCTGCAAAAAATAAAAATCAACCCAAAATGCTATATACGCCCTTTTTGCATGAAAGCCTTCAATAATATTATAAAGCGAAACTTTTCCGAAATATGTCAAGTTTAAGTTTGAATGTATTAATTTTATCACTTTTGAAATCATGAACGAACACCCAAATTCAAAAAGTCGATGATGGTCCGCACGCTTAATCAGAAGAAATTCTGAGTTTAAATCCACAGGAAACTTCACAAAGTATTACAGGCTTGCACTTGCAACAGTTACCAATGACAAGCTTCATCAGATTCAATGAATTCCACCTTTAGCACTGTCAGTGTTAAAGCCACATAAAACTTGTCTTTTAACAAAATAAATGTCAAACCTCAATCTAGAATCTTTTTAGAACCCCAATTTCAAAATTTTCTGGAGAGGCTCCTGGACCCCTAATAATAGGTGGGCCCCCTCCTCCATGTCACCCTGATAAAACCACTCTACGTCTTTTTACTGGCATTGTCCACCGCCTACTCAAAGTTATTCTCCCTCTACTTCAAACTTTCGGGAGAACCCTGCCTTTGGTTGTTGACGTATTGACTGTTTAACATAGTCTAAAGATAAAAACAACTTTCTTTCATTTTCACATTTGCCAACCATCTGTTGCCCAACTGGCAGTAACTTGTCAGTTAAGCCAGTCAGTAACCTGATGGCCAACAGTCAGCTGATAGACTGATTCAAGAGCCTATTAATATGTTTAAAACTTACCATTACAAAACAGAAAATTCCCAACAAGAGGAAAAGAAAGAATCCCATGATTCTCTGAGTTCGAGACTGCAAAAAAATAAACGAAATAATGAAATAAGTCAAATTAAATAAAGTTGTACATACAAGTATCACCAACATAGAAGATCAAATTTACGTGCTTTGGGGTATGAGTGTGTACAGTGTTTCAGCCAGAAAATTTTACTTGAGGGTCTAAGTGGCCCCTGAAGACCTTTTTTAGGGGGCAATTTCTCTAGGAAAGGGGCCAATAAATTGAAAGCTACAGAAGGAAAAAATGCATCAGGGTACCAAGGAAAATAAAGCAGTTTATTAGGATCTGTGATAAAATTTAATAAGTGCTTTTTGAAGTGTTTCAACTCAATAAAGTTTCTTTTGAATCAGATACTAGTATAAAGGATCCGTACATTACCAGAGAACAGTCCTTAGGTATACATGACATAGTCAATGATCAAGGGTTTGCATTGCATTATGGGGCAATTTCAAACATGGCCAGCCATTTGGAAGTTTTTGGTCGCCAAGGATGAAATTTTAGTTGCATTGGCGACCGTATCGGTCACAATTTCGAGCCCTGGGATGGCTTTTAAAATACTATGCCTGTGTTAAGCCTGAGCTCTTGTAAAAGGAAAGGGCCAAACTGGCCCTTTTCTAGTTTTTCTGGGAGCCATCTCTGATTGCAGCGCGGGATTCCCGTAATGGCACGCTCTGGCGAAAACACTGGTGTATATCCAGAAGTAGTCACTTGATACATGTACATTGTACATTGTACATTGTACATTGTATAAATCATATCAAAAATCAACAGCTACAATCAATATCAGTCAAAATCAATCATCAGTTGATAGCAGTTGAACTAACAGAAAAATTTTTTTGCCATTCATTGTAACCACATATTAATAAATGGCATAAAGGAGGGATCATCCCTCCATGATCGCATTACAGAAGAATTTCCATTGCGTGACCAAAGCCTAACCTATCTCCCCAGTGGTAAACCCTAAACTGGAATAGACAAGTCAGTAAAAGGGCAAAGCCTAACTTTAAATGGCACTACAAGCTGAAACCTGCAGAAAGCATTATGCTAGAGTGTGGACAGTTGTGACTTGCTCAAGCCTACTATATCCACTAATTAAATTCAAGCCCCAGAGAGAGCTATAGGGTTGAGAATGAGCTTTTACAGCAGTCTTACAAAGTACCCTTCAAGTTTAAATACTTAAATTTAAAAGTTATGTGTGAGACCAGGGACAGATCTAAGGGTAGGGTGCAGGGGGTACGCACCCCCCCCCCCCGAGATTAAGCCTTCTTCATACGCGCTTTTAAATTTTGTTTGCCTCGTCATCCTACGTGGTGCACCCCTCCTTAGAAAGGTCCTGGATCTGCCCCTGGAGACTCGCATAATTGCTAAAAAACAAGTCTGCGAGAACCATAAAATTTGACTAAAATCTTGTGAGATCCAGAGTTTTTGAAGGACAATTCACCACCCCTAGCATTTCAATTCAATTCTTTACTTACACTATAAAGGGCATTTACATACATTTTATAAGGTAAAGTAATGAAAATAGTAAAAATTTAGAATATTAAGCCGTAATGAAATAAAATTCATATGTGAGTGCTGACCAAAGTGGCAAGTCAAGAGCTTTCTGGTAAATGGAAGCATAATAAATTAATTTAGCCAAGGGGAAAACTAGATCTGCATACACTACATTACAACATACATACACTACATTCACACTTACATAGCAACAAAATCAAGCAGCAAAAGTTTGATTATTCAGAATCTAACTTGTTAGTTATCATGTGCAAGAGAATAGAGGGAGAAACAACAGCCTCTCTTTCTATATGTTAACTGCAATAATAACAATTACTTTACTATTACAACCTTTTTCAAACAGTAGTATCAAGTTGAAACAGATCAGCACAGACTAACAATTAAATTCCATTCGATAAACGGCCTACCAATGATGGTAAAATTGGGTCCTTCTCTCCCTTTGCAAACCAATTTCCCCAACCATTTGCTGAGGAAGAATTAGAACTTTGACCATTTTGAATATTCCCGGAAGAAGACGAGCCGTTTTTCGATCTAGATCCAAAAGAAGCAAAATCCTTAAGAGCAGATATTTTCCCTTCCAAATCCATATCTTTCGACTATCTTTTCAATACTTTACTGTCTACTTGTCTACGAAAATCGCGGGCTCAAAAGGAAACTCGGTACAACTCACTTAACACCAGACTCCTCTCGTTGAATAAATCACAGTGAGTCATCTATAGCTATGAATAATTCTAGTTGGTCATTGCTATATATAACTTAACGAGGATTTTAAAATCTTTGATAATAAGTAGCCCCCATTTTTCTTTCAATAGATCATGTTCTATACCATTTTTCTACCTTCCAGAAAAAATGAAAACATTTAAAATTCTTTCTCCATGCATCATCAGATCGAAGTTTGCTCTTTTGAGCTCTTCATTTTAATGACTGTACGATGGTTTCAAATGCTTCTTTGAGAATTTGAGAATTGTTAACCCAACATACCCACTTGTGCAAAATATACTTGGATACTTGCCTCTCACGAATCACCTTCTGCGATAGGGACCTGAGAGAAATGTGAATGCTGAGATAACCTGCGCCAAATTTATCAAAGCAAGGTATTTTTCTACGCGCTCTCGCTACCATCTGACAACGTATTACCCATGGACTAATCAACTAATTCCAAGGGCTGCAAGGGACACTTCCGTACCGGAAGTTATTTCCCGCCATTAAAAATCAACTCGATATATATCAACCTCATTTATATCCTCCACCTAACCTTACTTTAGTATATGACGTCATTGGAAAGGCCAAGGGCAACATGGCGGATGAAATGTTGAACGGTCTGCAGCCAGCTACCTTTTGACGGTATATTGTACACACAGAAGTGCGAGCTTAGATAGCTTCGTAACTGATTTTTTAGTTTTTCCTGCCTGACTTTTACCATCACGCAAATGAAATAAGGCCAACCTTGAGATCAGGACGTGAACAAGTTCAGCGAATGAATGAATGAATCAATGAACTTAACCTAATTGGGTTTATTAGGCGTCCCTAAGAGATTCTGCGATTCAACATGCAGATTTTCGTGAATCTGTTAAACGCAAAGAAGATTGTGGTGGAGGTGGAACCTTTGGATACCGTGGAAACCCTGAAGAATAAGATCTCAGAAGCAACGGGACTTCCACTACCTGCCCAATCTCTCTACGCGCAAAATGGCGCTAAGATCGAAAATGGCCGTCGCATTTATCTGGGAGATTTGATAAAGCCAAACACAATCATCAATTTGGCTCGCAAACGGGATGCATCGTTATCTTCGTTTTATGTCAATGCTGTGACAGAAGCGGGGAGAGTTTTAACTGTAATTCCTGAGGGAGGGAACTCTTCAAGTGTCCAGAATTTGAGAAGTAAATTATCGACAATGCTGGATCTACCAGCAGACAGCATGTTTCTGCGCCTGGTGGATTTGTCTCGTTTCGTGAATAAGGGTTTAGTGGTATTATTTAACAGTATGGAGGAGTGTGGTGTGGTCAGTGGTTCTGTTTTGTACGTGCAAATTCATCCATGGAAAGAAGAGTAAGTTTAAAATATAAAGAAAAATAAAGGCTAAAGTGTACGTGATCCGGTTAATGCAAATTAATCAGTGTGTGATTTTATTTATATTAGAAAAACAATATTTAGTTTCGTGATGTGGTCAAAAATATAAATTCTAAAAAAGGAAAAAAATTCTTAGCATTTCTAATTTATTATAGTAATACAAGAGTGACCATGAGTGGTCATTCCCCAATGTCCCCAAAATATGGTCCAGCGCCCGGGTGCAGCGAAATATTGACACTGTTAGACTTAACAAGTTTTATCTTTATTTTTATTTGCATTTTCATTTTAATTACCAATTCTGTTTTATTAAATAAAATGAAATTTTAAATTTCATGACTGACATATACAAATCATGTACATGTATGGATCTCTATACTGCACCTACAGTTTTTAGGATGTAATAACCATCAAAATATCAAAATCTATACATGTATTTATGAAAAACACAGAATAACTTATGACTAAGTGTTTCAGCATTTGTTAACACATTTTTACTTAGTGATATTTCTTCGCTAAATGTACTCTTCTTCTTTTTTACAGTTGGTTCCATGGGAAAATAACTCGTGACCAGGCAGAACAAGTTATGTCTTCTGCTACTAATGGACAGTTCCTGGTCAAAGAGAGCCTGACCTTTCCTGGTGATTATGTTCTCTTTGTTTGGTAAGTTTGTCTTTTTTGCAAGTTGTTCGATTGGTTAACGGCTAATAAATTAACCTTAAATATTAAAAAAACAAATTTTGTTATCTTTAGACCAGCTCAGAGAAAACTTTCGGGCATGTGACTCTCAAATTGCACTTACCTGGTATAATTTTCACTCGCTCACTCAGAAAGATGCCTCCCCTCCTAAAAAATCTCTGCATTAATTTACAAACCATATGTTTTTTCAGTATCTCTTGATCACATACGCCCAGCTGGTCATTTCATGTTGAGCTTTGTTGTTCTGGCCCATTTACCAGACGCCTCTTTAGGATCGCGGGCCGATTTTACTGTTTTACTCATTTTTTGTCATCAACTTTTGACACTCTTGGGAAATATTTTTATATTGCCAAATTCACATATCCTGAGAATCGAGATATGGGAGTAAACAACTTGTCAGCAGGTGGATTAGCTAGCATGATGATTTTCTTTCAATGAAAAATTATTCTAAAAGACCTTAAACTCAAAGATAACTACAACAAAGGTACTTTTATTTTCAAAACGGTTCCTACATGTATTCAAGACCCTTCACGATCTTTGAGATTCATTCCTTAACAGGCAACCATCCTTGTTCCTAGAGAGCAATGGTATCACTTCATACACAAGTAACCATTACTTAGTTTATCACTGCTAGGAAGCCGTATTTCATTTTGCCTAAATTTATCAGGCATCTCAAAAGCTAAGATAGAAATAAATAAATAAATAAATATACATTTATATAGC